TTCATTTTATGTATATCTTCTTCTTCTACCATTACTAATTAACATCAATAACAATGGTAATTCATTCATCATTGAGAAAAACTAGGCCTATCTATTTCTAGTGGATCAGAATCGTATGCAGAAGGAAGAAAATTCAAAGAACCCCGTGAAACAGTAGATTGTTGTGTTGAAATCCCTGCGTATGCGCAGATCCATCCATGTTACATCTCGGAAGCTTTACCAGCCTCGCTGAGGCTGGTAAAGATTACTGAGACGTTCCGAGATTTTACAAGGATATTACACGGAGGTACATTCACACGTGCCGTAAAATGTTACTTTTGGTTACATTTTGTTACATTTGGTAAGATTTTTGTACGTGTGAATCGGGTATTAGTCTTCTGTGAGATCCAAATCGATAATGCATTAGGGAGCTTTTGATTGCACGACAATGGTAGGACGTAGAACGTAAAAGTCATCTGCGCATGCGATAACGTTAAGGTCACCTCATCGAGTAGATTCTGGAACGCAATTTGGCCAAATCTATGTATGCAGAGAACGTAGGACGCCAGGTAGGACAGTCACGTATGAGCGATTCCATTCTAGCGCCGTGTCGTCGCACAAATCGAAGGCTCCCTATGTACTGCCTTTAAGAACATGATTCAACATAATGGCTACACTGTTATTAGCTTTTTATGTGGGTTTTAAATACAGATATTATTTATATAGCACATCTGAAATACTCTCATAAAAGCTGAAATTTAAGTTAAAAATTATTATTTAAAAATTAATTAAATTAAGTTATTTGTACTCATCAGGTTAATGCAAGTGATTGCTGAGAACCAGAAGATGGCAAAATCCCACCAGTCAGCATTGAAGAAAAGAGCAGCATCAGCAGCAAGTACTACAGAGTAAGTTAAGTGTTGATTACATGCTGGCAATTGTAACATAGTGTCATAGTACCTTATAGTTGCATGACACCTAAGGTATTCACCTCTAGTTCGCCAGAACGTACCTGAAATACAGTAGTGATGCGATCTGTGACTACGTATTTTACTGAGGTAGTATTTTCCTACAACTCCTACTCTGGGAAGTTGCAATCACTATTAGTCAACATATATTCCCAAATTATAGTAACCAATATTAATTAAACAAGTCATCGACTCATATTTTCTGTTTCTGTGTATATATGTACCTTATATAGTTCAGAAATGAGTGTGAGCATTGATTTTGGAGAAAAGTACATCAGTCCTAATCAATGTACTCCTCAACTCTATTTTATAGTAATGTTCGTTTGTTGCCCTTTACTTCTAGCCATTACCTGCAAATAAATAACTCCTTGCCATCACTACATTTAACGATGATTAATGACCAAATGCACTTTGTATTTCCCCACTCCTCTGTGGAATAAAATTAAAACCCTGTAAATGGTTGTAGATTTGATGAAGAAAAACATTAAGTGTACATTGCTATTACATTGTTATGATCTTAATAGAGGGATTTAGCGATGGGTGTCACATGACCTAACTTGGGTGTTGGATATAAACAATCCACTGACACAGTGGTGTTTTCCTGCTATCGCAGCTGTTAAATTGCAAAGCATACAATCCAAGGAGAAGGCTAGGATAAGTAAATATACACTATTTGAACAATCGTATTGCCTTTCCTAGCCATTTACTTGTGGGTGGTTGTTTTCGCAACCATAACATTATCTTTTCATATGCTATCGCACTGTAATGTTTTTCATGTATACCCAAGTTTGGTTACCGCCTAAAATCCCTCTATATTAACTTCTCAGATTATATTTGATCATTAAATCATTTTTATTAATATGGTATTACTAATTGTTTTATTATTTATTATTCAAGAGATGCGACGCCACCTGAAAAGAAAGCGAAAACTGAAGCCAAGGCTGCTGGGCCCGTGGATAACAGAGCTGATACGACCTCAGGCCAGCAGCAGCAACATACTCCACAGCAGTACCAGCAACAGCAGATGCAACAGGGCAGGCCACCCCCACCACAGATGATGCAACAACACCCTGGACCATACAACCAGCCAGGCTATAATTATGGAGCTTGGAACCAGTATAACCAGCCACCGGTATGTTAGCCTTGTATTGCTCAATCTCTACTTCGCAGTCCTATGTACCATTTATTCCATGTTATTCACTTTGCTTAACATATTATTCTCTTTGTTATTGACTTTGCTCCTTGTTATTTACTTAGCTTAACATATTATTCTCTTTGAATGTGAGCAATAATATCTCATTAATGCTCACATTGCCTGAAAACCAAAAATAATCACAATTGCTCGGTGGCATATTATGTCAAATTATTGCACTGCTATTACTGATATTTCAAAACATTTTAACTGCTAGTTAAATAATGCCAAATTCCACAACATGATTCTTTGAAGTGGTACATTTATGAGTTTGCAAAAACCAAATTTATTTATATTGTTTATTTAACAAACTGCATTTGTTTACACAGTTCTAAATGATTGACATTTACAAATATTTATTTTGTTTTTCATCAGCATAATGCCTACAACTATCAGCAGTGGGGTGGCTATAACCAAGGTTATTACTAGGTCAGTGTCCTGAACAGAAGTATGATCGGAGGTCGACATGGCAAATAAGGACATCTTTAAACCTCATTCATCACATATTTGACTTCTTTTCAAATCAGGCCATTATTGTTTACTATGATTTTACATCATTTTCCAATAAGTGCATATTTGCATTAAAGTATGGTTTCCATAAAATCGCTACACGCTTTTGCCAACGGTGATTGGTCTGTCGAATTGAGCATTCCCGATTGCATCAGGGACATCTACGCAGTGCAACGATTGCACTAACAATGCTGTAATGACAGTGTAGCAATTTTAAGGAAGCTTAATGTGTGGTCTATTTACTAGTATGAGGCTTCACATATTTGTAGTGGACCTGTAGATTGGTGGTGGTTAAGATGTTCACCCACCATTCGTTCAAATCCTGTAACTCCACTCCCCAAGCCTCATAAGATTTAGTTGATAGAGCAATGTTCCAGCCTGTAATGGACCATTCATCTAAGACCCACCTTATATCATGTTCCTGTACATTGGTTTGTGGGACATGCTGGTACTGTATACCTGGCCCAGTTGTATGTTACATGCAGGAAAGTGTAATTGTCATCATGTACAGCACGTTATTGGATTATAATAGACACTTTACTCAATAGGACGGGTGGACGTTGGTTTTGTGCTCGTCAGAGCTTGAAGACCACAGTAAGGTGCTTAATCAGAAATTCCGTTCGCTTCCCATCCTCTTGTGTAAGTGATTAATATCCAGTATGCTACTGGGTTTATTTTTTTTGAAAATGAAATACAGATTATATCAACTTGCCTTTTGCTTTTGTTTCTAGCATTGTACCTAACATTTTTACTTAAATTTAATGTTAAAAGTGACAGACCTATGTTATCTTTGAAAATAGTTGTTCAGTAGAAGGACTCAGGATGATTAATTTACTACATTTAATAACGTTAATTTTGCTTTCACATAATCTTATTGATGAGTTTCATTTTAGTACATTTTAAGTGGCTTAAATACATCCTTTTAACAGTGATTATAATTCAGTAAACCCATTAAAAAGTGAATTGTATTATTCTAAACTCTCTTGGAATATCTTATCTTAAATTTTAAGGTAATAATGATTTTAGTTTGTAAAATAGAGGTCTCAATTTTTGTTGGATCCAACAGATGTGTAAACTTGTGTTAAGCTCAATAAAGCGTCTTTTCAGATACAGCTGTGTCATTGTTATTTGGTTTGCGTCATTGAGTAAATGGGCTGATTACAGTGACTTTGCATAATTCTATACAGTATTTAAGATTAAATATATCTATTTTAGAATACCAATGATGCACCATGGCCTGTAACCTCCTTTTCAAAATGAATAGCGCACATAGCAAAATTGTTAGATTATCACTCCCGCCCGCATCAAAAACTTGGGAAATAATAAATTCATGAGTAGAAAGAATTAAACCAGTTTTTATACAATATTCTTGTCAAATATAGTCCCTCCCTCATCAATATAAGAAAATGAAATCTAATAATTTTTTCTATGAAAGTGTTGTTGGCCCTTGTAAGCATTACAGAACCCTACTACAGTATAAAGTATTTATCAATATGTGGGCATAACTTGAACCATTTCTAAGTCTATCATATTTTACATGATGTTTTCCATTAAAGTTAAATTTCATCCAAGTCAAACCATTTTTCAGTGCCATTTTGGATTTGACTTAGGCATTGAACCAAAGTCTATTTTCACACAAATTATAGGCCTGGAATATTTCTGTACTACAGACTTTTCCATCAGCATCTTTCATTAGGAAATTTACGCAACAAGACAGGTGGATGGTGTTCTATGCTCAAGACCACAGTAAACACTTGGGCGCTTAACCTGAATTGCCTATTGTCAGATTATTGATAAGTTAATGCGAAAATTAAGGAAAAAATAGCCTATAAATCTTCATCCTTTCCTGTTTCTTTGCAGTTTAAGCAAACCATAAAGTGCTACGGATATTTGAAGACAATTACTAAAATGCATTTTACTAACGCAAGTAGTGTCAAATCTTTGTAGTAGAGAGCACATGGGTGTTACGCCAGTGGGCGACAGGATCAACTGGTAATTTTAAATGCAACATGCATCCAAATAAAATATCAAAGACAATACATCATCTAGAAAAATCTTTATTCTTTTAAAGATTTATATGTGCAGTGCATTGCACTGAACATGATTTTCCACACTGGTTTTATTTTTGTAGTACTTTATACTACAAGCATCATACTCCCATACCATACAGACTTTTGGTCATTTTATATCGCTACATGACCATAGGCCATGGGCGTAAAACACTGCTAAGTAAGTTGTAACAATAACATTTCTTTGAAGGCTTTGGAAAATATAATTCTGTTTCAATTTGTGAATCTGTAAAAGTTATGGCATTTTTTATGACCTAAAATATACCAACCCCCCCCCCCTCCAAAACTGTCCAATATACACCCTGACAGGCACAAGTGAAACTTAGGCTGCTGGCTTTTCTATAACATGAATGTAGTACGCAGGCACCTCCACTTCATTCAATGGCTTGTAGTCTCCATAAACTGTATGCTTACAACCGCTGCCAAATGCTTCTATCAGCAAATCCGAGAAGGTTTTCAGTCGGTGGGGGTAATATGACAACCGGAACCTAAAGTAGAAATTCAACATATTGAATAGAAAAGAATATCATACGTAATACTTTATAATAAACTCCATATACTATATATACAATCTGACATAGGTAATTTATACTTCTGTGATATTGTCATTACAAAAGTTGCACATGCCTAGCATGATATAGGGGATTCCCATGCCTTCTGCAGTTCATTTTCTACTTAATTTGTGACAAACTGCAAAAGACTTATTTTGATTATAAAAGGAGTGTGTTTTTCTGGCATCAAGAAGCATCACAAATCAAGAAAGTTCACCTATAGAGTACTTCGGTGTTACGTCACGATACCACGTGATACTACTCCGTTGCTATCGTTGCAAAATGAGTTCAATTGGATGCCATTTTCTCCACTGACAAACCATTGATCCCAATTTCTAACGTAATTATTAAGATGTTTTTCTTTGTAAATTTTAATTGATGATTAAATGTGTGTTATATGTGAATGTAAATGTGTGATAAATAATATAATGCAAGCTTTTGTGTTTTTAGTACATTTTGATGGTAAAATATTAGATTTTAACATGCCTATTCCAGAAAGCCTATGTAGTCATTCAGGAATAATGAACGGTAACCAACGTCTGGTTGGCTACAGAGGGCGCCACCTGGCATTGTGACGGCACGACTGTGGTACTCTATGGTTGGTAAATTACTCTTCCTGATGAAAAGAAATACTCTACTCAAAATCCCTGGCCAGACTCGCATTTTATTTGATAAAAACATGTGACATGCCTAAATATGGTCATGATGACATCACATCAAGACCATATATAGGCACATCATGATTATATTTGGGCCTAAAACAGTTTTACTTGTGATAAACTAACTTGTAGATGGACTCCTCTTCTGCTTTCTTTTCTAACTTTGGTCGCTTTCTAGAAGATTCAGCAAGAGACTGTTCCTGAGCTTTGTCAATATCAATGAAGTAATCCAGCGTCACCATCGTTGATTTACCATTCACGTATAACACAGACGTCTGTATATCATTTACGCAATTACCCTAAAAGACAAAATGTACAGCAATGATATATTAATAGATTATTATATATTTTATGTATTTTACCCTAAATCAGTGGAAAAAAAACCTTTATACAGCAATTTAGTTTGGTTTTGTTTATCTCTTCTCTGATTTTAGGTCTGTTTTAATTTTTATTATTGTTTGTATTTTTTGACAAAAGAAATAAATTAATGAAATAATAAAAAATATATTCACTTCAATAAAATACCCATCATTGTTTATGCAATCAGTTGATATTCGAAATAGAAACAGGTGGACAGACGACCAGAAAATGTACAATAAATACTGGTATAGAGAAAAATCAGACATAAAACACAACAACAACAGTGGACTGACGGACCATTAAGTAAGTAAATTATGATTTATAATGCTATAAACACACCTGATAATATATATTTTTAACAGGAGCACGGCCTGTGTCTAGTATGGCATCGTAGTTGCGGTGATCTATGATCATAATTCCACCTGGTTTCACCATGTATGCAAAGTTTTTCAGAGCCTTTCTGATGTTCCTTAAATCACCATCAAAATCGGGAAGATGAGCAAAGGAATTGCCGAGGCAGATAACACAATCAAATCCATTTTCACTATCGATGTCATCTGGTAGGGTCAGCCAGTTAGCAATGTCAATTTCTGAGAAAAATTAAACACAACATTATTAAAAACTGTTTAACAGCATACAAAACTGAATTCAATAGACATATTTAATTTGCCTGTTCTGATAAAGGACTTAAGTCTTTCTTTTTTACTTGTATTTACCTTGTGATATGCTAAAGTAATGCCAATAGCTGATAACATGTATTTACGTTATTGATAACGGGATTTATCCTACATTTCAAGTGCCATCAATACTTATCAATGGACATCAATGTGACACAATTTAAATATTGTTAAAAAAAACTATGATAGCAATTGTGATGTCAATTTATTTTCATATCTTGTATTGTGAAGTATAGTTTGAAACCTGAAATATAATAATATAATAATTAATTCTTATGAACTCAATCTTAATTTTACTTACATAAGGCAAGACCTTTTTAAAACCGTGTTTAGCGAACTCTCTGACTGCCATTAATGATGATTTTGAATAAAAATAGACTTGTATTTTTGGCCAGTTAGTGCATTCTCCTCCACGAGAAAATGAAAATTCCTAACAAAATGTTTTATTTTGCCCTCTGTTCCCCTGAAATCTCCAAAAATATATATATTCATTCTTAATTATATAAATTTATTTATCAATCTCATTCTGCCTACTACACTGTTGAATTTATAAATCAAATTTAATTTTTATTTTCTCCTTCACCTAAGATTGTTTTGGTAAAATCATTTTGCTAAGTGATGAAACTAAATTTTATTTTTATTTTTTATCTGAAAGTTCGCGAAACAGGGTATAAAAAAAGCCAGAGCTTGAAAATTACAGCAGACTTAACATTACAAAATAATTTTCATAATACACCATAGACTAACAATAAATAAAAGTGCTAATTGATGTGCAATAAAAAATATGCTGACAAACACAACCACACATTTAGAGCCATTTTACCCCATTGATCAAATGCCTCTTCCTTTCTGCGTGCCCATCTTTCTTTAAAAGCGTGCATTATCATCTTGTCAGACGCATCGCAGCTTGTCACCATAAACCCAGACTCTAGTAGCATGATCGAATCTATCCTATATACACAATGTTTATAAAAAATAATAGTAACTTTAGCTTTTAATTTCTCTAAAAACAATATACTGTATCTTTCGATATGTAGAAATTATTTACGATCAATCAATTGTTCTATTTTTTTTGTGGTGCCATTTAAACCTTTTTTTTATTTAGTCCAAAGAACAAAAACTGACAAACACAAAATAACAGAGAGGGAAAACACTTAATTGGACGGACAGGATTGCCAAAAAGTGAACTAAATCACTGTCTAGTGACTCTCCGATGCCAATGACAACATAAACTGGCATAAATAATGTACAGTAAATAGTATTAATATAGATAAAATATTGTCGAGGAATTTAGTATACATTTTTAGTTAAACATATGTATGGGATTAAAGTTAATGGTATGAAAACACTAATATCGAACAGACCTTGCGCCTATGAGATGAGCAAATTTTAATCAAATACATGTTTCCTTCTAATTAAAGACCCCTCCAATTAAAGACCACTTCCATCTGGTACCAAATTCACAAATTTCTTATCTTTACAATTCAAATCAGAGACCAAAAAGCTTGTTCTCTCTTTCTTTATTGGATTTTTCCACACATAACAATCACATAATTAATATGCTACCAGTGTATTTAACAATGTTATACAATGAATAATTCGTTAAGAAAAAAAACACAAGTTGCTTTAAAAAAAAAAAATCATAATGTGAAGTATTAATATTTCCTAATTATAAGTCAAAGCTGCTAAAAACCATGGAAACCCTGGCCCCAAATTGGTGTTTAATTGGAGGGAGACCTATAATAACTAAATAAGGAATAAACTTAAATGCATGTATTTAGTTATCAACCTTATCAAAGTTTATTCTTTCATATAGTTCACTATAATTCACATAACCTTTGACCAGTGGCATAACAAAGAGGCCTGAGGACTCTGGTCAAGGCTTTTTTGGGCCCCACTAAAATTGGGGGTTGGGTCCAGTAGACCCCTTGGGTACAGGGCAAAGCCTGCCAATTTAGGCATTTTTGAGGTCCTAAGGGTGTATTTTTCATATTTTTTAAACACATTTTCCACTTCTCTAAGCTGAAAATGTTGATGAACCTTTTGAGGTGCCTTAAGGTATTAGGGCCCCTAGATTTAGCCAGTGCTGTTATGCCACTGCCATTAACATGCATTATTTCTTGTAGGCCTAATAGTGACAAAAACGATATACAATTATATGCCTACACTGCATCTGCCGATTATGTTGTAGGCAGTTCTGTACACAAGGTGTGCCTTCAGTGCAAATGGAAGTTAATAAATCATATAAGGCTTAATTTTTAATTGATATTACAATGTATTGTATTTGCTCAGTCATATATTGTATTTGCTCAGTTGAAAATATTAACAAAAAACTGGCTTTTTGGTTTGGAGCTGAATGGATCAATCAATATTTAATATCAATTACTATAGTATACAGGAAATTGATTGAAATATTAACAATGGCTGCAGCCTTTCTAAATTACTGCAAACAACTATTGTATAATTATGAACGAATAAATACCACGAATCACAATTCAGGTCACAGCTTTTTTTTAAGTAGTGTCATAAAAACCACATCCTAAGCCCAATATTTATTAACATACTGTATGTAATAATCTTTTAAAAAATACTAAAAATAGTATTTTCTTTTTGTGTGAAGTTGCTTCCATGATTCATTTATGTGCCTGTAAAATGCACCTGTCTTTTAGACCTTTACACCTTCATAGGTATAAATTGTCTGAAAGAAAATGCATTAATTTGGCAAGGGTGGATAAACCTCCCAGGGGTGTATAGGCCTATAGGACCCAGGGTCCCCCGTAGGAATTCGCTTTATAAAGATAAACGGGTAGGAGGAGAATTATCGCCAGGGACATGAATTAAGTGAAGCTGGAACATTCCCACATAATAAGGAGTGGCTTTTCACCAGGGGTGAGAATTTTACTCCTCGAGAAGGAATTAATTAGTTAGTTAGTGTTCAATTCACTTACCCGGTTCCACATGCAACATCAAGGATTGACTTGCAGTTCTTGCTCTTGAGCAATTCAACAATCCAGTCCTTGTAGTAGTCTATACGTCCAGATTTTGTACCGATGTAACATTCCCATACCTTAGCTGCCTTGCCATCCGCATACTGATCGCGAATACCCTCTGCAGGGATACCAAGCGATCTCGTACGGAACACGCTGTCGATTCTCTCCGTACCTGTTTTTGACATGGTGATTTTACTTTTTTTAAAAATGATAACACAAATGCTATGGTTTTGTGCCGTATCACTGATGAGGCTTGAACTCCTACAGATATATTCAAAATGAAATATGAACTTCTTGGGCCGCACAATTCTGGATGGAACTGGTTGAAAATTTGGTATTTAAACACGAAGACAACTCCACATATTCATAAACAAGATGTTTCCCAGGTACGTGTGTGTATAGATTTCCGAAGTGGGCAGTGGCCCATGATCAATGAAAATCTGCAGTGTTGAACCAATCAACGTGCAGTGTGGAATGGCCAATCAAATCGCCAGGAATGTGTGCTTTATGAGACACTTATTAACTTTTGAAGTTGCCGTTGGAAAGATTATTCTTTCTGCGCCGATGATTATGATGATGTATTGATGATTTTTATTTACAGGGAGATAGTGCACAGGAGTGCATTGAACATAAATGAGACAGCCACACTTATGATTAGTTTAGGTTTTAAAATAAAAAATCAATATTTACACCATGTCAGGTTATTCAGTTCCGTCAGTGGTTGTGAGTACGATGCTGACCCTTCAATTTGCCCATTTGCCTGTCTGGACCAGTACTTAAAAGTAACGAGAGAGCTCAGAAATGAGGAGACACAATTACTGATTTCTTTTGCCTCATAAGGCAATAGGAGACAAGACCCTTTCAAGGTGGATTAAGGAGGTCATGAGGGTGTGTCACATTGACACAGAAGTGTTTAAGCCACATTCGTCAAGGCATGCATCGGTTACGGCCTGTTTTAACTCGGAGATTCCCCTTGAACAGATCCTAGCTAAACCTAGATGGTCTAATGCCGAAACGTTCAGGAAACATTGCTATAGAAATGTATTGAAGTAATGAAAGGATTAACATGTAGAAAAACAAATCGTTAGAGTTATTTGGGTGATTAGCATTGTAGCTATTCCAAATACAGTGCTGTATGTTATCATTGAGATGACAAAAAAATAAAGAAATGTTTGATCTCAAATTACTTGTCTTGTTTATTTCTGGCTCCCTGTATCACAACCTGCTAAGAAATGTGTTAGTCTTCATGTCATACCAGAAGTTACGTGTTTATGAGATAAAATTTATAGATTGAACGAGACTTACCTGTAAGTTGAAGTTTGAGAATAATTCTATCTCATAAATGTTAGTAACTGAAGGAATGACATGCCCTTCTCTTCCCACCCTAACTCTTGTTTTACAGCATATAACTAATTATAGTTTAACTTCCTGGTGTGTTTGTTGGGTGTTCGTGAACATGTTGCTTGTTAAAGGTATGAAGCACAACCGACGGTTCTGACGAGTCACCCGTTCAGAACGGCACTCTCAGGCTTATTTTGATATAATTTTCTGTACACTGTACATTTAAAAATAGTGGTGGATTCAGGAGAGGGGGGCCCATGGAGGGACCTTCAAATAAAGGGTCCAAGAACAGCCCCGCCATGGTTAGGGCTGAGGTAAGAAAAAAAATATGATTTTGGCACCTCTAGATGGCTGGAAATGGCACTCTCAGACTTTTTAATATAATTTTCTTTTGTTCTCCATTAATTTATAATTTTTAAAAATACAGGGGTGGGGAAAAATTTGCTCTTTCATGCTCACGTTTATAGCGTTTTAGCGTGGTGTACTTAATAATACAGTATTAATAATTTTAAAAAAATATATCACTAAAGTAAAAAGTAGGAGAAATGTTTATTTTTTTTTTTTATTATAAAAGTATTATTTCAATAGAATATTTATCTCAGCAAAATATTGTTCAGGGGGCCTCGAAGTTTTTCAAAATTATTTTTTTCTAATGGACAAAAAAAGAAAAATATATTCAAATTTAAGTTTGAGAATACCATTTCAGGCCAGGCGCGGATCCAGCGGGGGAATAAGCCCCCCCCCCACCACCGTCGGTCAAGCCGAAAAATAAATAAGAGGGAGAAAATTTCAGTTATAGAGAGGAAAGCGGAGAAAATGGAGTGAACCCATGAGTTCAGTGGTGATCCAGTAGTGGGAGAAAGGAGAGCTCGATTTTATACCACTTATTTACACCAACCCTGGTGGGTCGGAGGTGGGCGTGGCGGCATTGACTCCATATTGTG